GCACAGATTTCCACGCACCTAAATGAATCGATGCGCAGCTAATTCCTTTCAACGCGGCCTCAGTAACCACTTAAAACCCCACAACATCTAGATTTAGGAGAGACTGACCTATTAGCATCAGCCCAGTGGAGGCACAGATCCGTGTAAACAAAGACATAATTCCCTATTATCAAGATGCACCAAAAGGGAGGTCGATAAATAAATAGGAATTTTAGGTAAAGAGGCAGAGGCGCCTCTATGGTAGGGAGACCCGCCGTCTCCCTGTCCCCTGTGTCCACGGGTGGTGAGCGGCGGAGATCAGTTCTACTGGTGTGTGTGGGGACAGGAAGGCACTAGGGAGGAGTGAGACGGGGTGGTGGAATAGAGTCAGACGGTAGGACGAAGACAGACATATAGACAGATACTCGGAGACGGACAAGCGGAGACAGACAATAACTAATCAACTACACATTGAGCTCAATGATACAGGTACAAATAGTAACTACACAGGGAGAGAGACAACACACGGATGACAAGTGCTTTAAGCGGTCCAATTAACCTGGCTTAACTAGATAAGTGTTCACCCATAGATCGTTAGAGCTGAAATGTTTACAAACTACCCGATGAGCCTAGAGGTTCAGAAGTGCATCAGGATGCATCTTATCACTAGCCGGAGGTCGGGTGTGGATAGTGAGGGTGTGTGGGCGTGGATAGTGAGGGTGTGTGGATGGTGTAGAAGTGGGGGGAGAGGGGGGGGTTGGTTAATTCCCCGTAAGAAAACATGTAATTAGGGAGTTTGTCTGATTGTGAATAGTGCCTTTAAGTAGTCTCTATAAGGTCGACTTTTCCATTATCAGTTCGTAACTAGTGGAGGCGCAAGTCATTTTTCTTGACCCCTCGTGTGGGTGTGATCGTGTGATTGCCTTATACTACATAATTACTTTGCTGGTCGTGTGCGACTCTTCAATTTTTTTTCCCATTTAATAATTGCAAATTTATTTGCCTTATCATAATTGCAATTTACAAGAAATCTGCAACACTAATCGAGCAACTCCTAACCCCATTATATATATATATATATATATATATATATATATATATATATATATATATATATATATATATATATAGAGAGATAGAGAGAGATAGAGATAGATATATAGAGAGAGATATATAGATATAGAGAGAGAGATATATAGAGAGAGAGAGAGAGCTGCCACGAAGCCCTTGGAGTACATGCCTTGTTATTATCGCCTGCTGGCAGTTATTTTTCTAATTCACATACACACATACATATACACACACACATACACACATACTCCTGCCTGGGGGTAGGGGTATAAGTTCCAGTCCACAGGTGTCCACAGGTGTCGCTCATTTAAGTCATCCTCGGGCGTTGCTTACCTTTGTTGCCCACAGGTGCTATTCTCCTCTTGAGTGCATCAGGGGGGGAGGGGTTTGACCCTCCTCTTGAGTGCATCAGGGGGGGAAGGGGGATGGTTGACCCTCCTCTTGAGTGCATGAGGGGGAAGGCTCACCTTCCTCCCACCACTATCACTATGCATGGCCGCCTGGTCTGCAGTTTAACACACACCGATGCAATTGCCACACATGGTGTGTGATGACAGCTGCCACAACTGTCGTTACTTAAACCATATGTAAAGCCCCGTGTGTGTGTGTGTGTGTGTGTGTGTGTGTGTGTGTGTGTGTGTGTGTGTGTGTGTGTGTGTGTGTGTGTGTGTGTGTGTGTGTGTGTGTGTGTGTGGTGTGTGAGTGTGTGTGTGTGGAGGTGTGTGAGGGTGTGTGTGTGTGTGTGCGTGCAAGCACACACATACCAGAGTGTTCTTTGTCAGGTGGAAGCGTTTAACGTGGCTGAATAAGCCTAATCTTTTACACTTCAACGCCCCTCCCCCCCCCCCAAAAAAAAAAAAGTCTAACAAATTTATAAATTACCAATTTTACACACTAAACAGTTAATTGAGTAAATTTGAGTTAAGATAATCTTGCTTTTTATACACTCCGTGTCCACAATCCTTGCTTCAAATCTTACAGTTTCAACCATTAAACGGGATTCGCTATTCGAAACATATTGCAGTTTAATGCAGGTATTTTAACCATAGAGCGCAGGTGTTTGCGGAGGTCCGAATACCTGTCGATGTTATCTGCCGGTAGTAAACATCCGGGATGTCTGCGCAGCTGTGAAAGGCTCCGAGCATGCGCGGTGAAGCCTCGCCTTACTGGGCGGGAAATGATCCTTGGAGGTGATTTGGAGACTCCTGGCAAGATGAAGGAGGGTTGAGAGGCTAGGGGGGGGGGAAGGGTTGCTGCTGGGGAGGTGGTGTTGGAGAGGGGTCCAAAAGAGGCAGTGTGGCCCCTCTGCTGGGTGGCGCAGTGATGCCCTCTGCTGGGTGGCGCAGTGCTGCCCTCTGCTGGGTGGCGCAGTGCTGCCCTGCTGGGTGGCGCAGTGCTGCCCTCTGCTGGGTGGCGCAGTGCTGCCCTCTGCTGGGTGGCGCAGTGCTGCCCTCTGCTGGGTGGTGGTCGTGGCAGTTACACGACGGACCATACAGGCAGATATTTGCGACGCTCCGTCGTCCTCCTCCCGACAGCGTCCTCATTGACGCACTGCGTTGACGCACTGTGTTGACGCAAGGCGCTGACGCAGGCGCTGTGGGCGGGCAGGAAATTGCGTGACTAGCGGGGGCCGAGCCAAAAATTTCCGAACTTTTCGGGCAATAGGTAAACACTGACCTCTAAAACACAATTTTATAAGAGTCTGTTGATATATATATATATATATATATATATATATATATATATATATATATATATATATATATATATATATATATATATATATTGTGACGATAGCATATCTCCTATATAAGAGAGATATGATGTCTGCCTAGTAGCCAGAACTCACTTTTTGGCCTACTATTCAAGGCCCAATTTAATATAGAAGATATATCCAATTGTTTTACGACACCAAAGTTTGCCCAGAGAGCAAACGTATTCAGCACCAGGAACAAACCTGCTCCACCTCCGCCTACTCAAACCAGCAAACTACTTGTCCGTCGCCTGCACATCGCTGATTGGCTGGTGCCGTCGCACCTGCTCCCTCCCCCCGCCACACTACCTGATGTCTGGGCCACCACGACCTACAGTCCTCAGAATATCCCGTGCTTTCCACAAGTTAACACGTCTCATTGGTAGACTAAGCCCTGGCTTACGTGTACTAAGAGAGGTGGCAGCTTAAAGCCAATATCCTGCACTCATATATCTCCTTGTATATTATTCACTTGTATTAACGTAACTTTTCATTTTGCCAGTGATTATTCTTATTATTTTGTTGATTGATTTATGTTACAATTTTTATGTCATTTTATTCATGAAAAAATTTTCTAACGTAATTAAAATTTCATTGTTAAATTACTTGTGTTTTGTGTGTCTTCCCATTACCTTACCACAGAAGAAAGTTCCAGATTTTCTCTTTTTGTTTCTTTATGTGACGAGGCCATACCCCTAACTTTTGAAACAGCCGAACACCAACGCGTTACCGTCACAATATATATATATATATATATATATATATATATATATATATATATATATATATACATATATATATATACATATATATATACATATATATATATATATATATATATTATATATATATATATATATATATATATATATATATATATATATATATATACGAGTCTATTGATATATACGATATACTGGTTTCATACTTGGTGTAGTAAATAGTAGCAAAGATATTCTCGACAAATTTAAAACACAAAGGTATAATGTGTTCAATGACGAACCTCCATTAAAAAAAAGGTATGAACCTCCATTAAAAACACGAACGTCCGTAGAAACGACAAAACTCGATTCAAAACGACGAATTTCCATAAAAAAATATGAACCTTTATACCAAAAAAAAGACACTTCCATTAAAAAAAAAACACTGAACCTCCTTTAAAACAAAAGTAAAGAACAGCGACGAACAAAGTGGAAGAATTAAGAGGCTATGCAAAGTGGCCGAGGGCGAGCTTTATTAGCAGGATAGCATATTTTATCATCCGGTAGCCCTGGTGCTATCATAAGGTGTTATGATAGCACCCAGCACCACCAGAGGCCTCATTAGCATCCCGGGATAGCAAGAGACTGTGTGTGTGTGTGTGTGTGTGTGTGTGTGTGTGTGTGTGTGTGTGTGTGTGTGTGTGTGTGTGTGTGTGTGTGTGTGTGTGTGGGGTGTAGCTGGTGGTCGCGGAGGGCGACTCAGTACCTTAAAAGGGATAACGAAGGAGAATCTTGAGGCGCTGCTGGGTAATTCACCTCCTTGTAGCCGCAAGGTCGGGCTTCAGACCCTTAGCCCCACCAGTTTTCCAGCAGCCGGTTGTCTAAAGCAATAAATCCCGACCTCTTTGGAACCGGTTAGGTTAGGTTAGGTTAGGTTATTCAGTATATATGTGTGTGTATAATGTGTATTTGAGAGCGCATTGTGTGTATGTCCTCGCGTATGTTTGTATTCGTCTATTTGTGTCTACAGGATCGAACTTCAGCTCTCGGTCCCCGGCTTTCCAGCCACCGGGTGTTTGATGTACTCGGTAATGACTCCCGTTGTTCAGGCTACCATCAATATGTGTTCTTTTGATATTTATAATATTTTTCCTCGCTTTCTACCCATTCGATACCTTAAAGTATTTCACATGTCTCCATCATGTCTCCTCTCATTCTCTTTTGAAGTGACGTTAGTGTGTGTATTGGAGTACATTTACACTGAGGCACATTTATTCAAACCTAAATTTATATATACTCTATTGAATCTATAAAAACAAGAATAGATGAGAATATATGAATGCACTCTCATCTAAGAATAGATGAGATATTCACTCTCATCTAAGAATAGATGAGATATCACTCTCATCTAAGAATAGATGAGATATTCACTCTCATCTAAGAATAGATGAGAGTGCATGAAGACAACGACAAGCACTCATTCATATTCTTGGCAGATGCTGGCCGCCTTTGAGTATTGCTTTATAAATAAACTCTTGCATTTAAATAAGAGGCATAACTCGGACTGTTTCAACACGCGGAGCTCACAGGGGTTCGCATCCCGCGGGACCACAAACACATCTCCGGGAGACAACAGCATCACATCTCTTGGTCCAGGAGAGAGCAGCATCACATCTCTTGGTCCAGGAGAGAACAGCATCACATCTCTTGGTCCGGGAGACAACAGCATCACATCTCTTGGTCCTGGAGAGAGCAGCATCACATCTCTTGGTCCTGGAGAGAGCAGCATCACATCTCTTGGTCCGGGGGAGAGCAGCATCACATCTCTTGGTCCAGGAGAGAGCAGCATCACATCTCTTGGTCCGGGGGAGAGCAGCATCACATCTCTTGGTCCTGGAGAGAGCAGCATCACATCTCTTGGTCCTGGAGAGAGCAGCATCATATCTCTTGGTCCTGGGAGAGAGCAGCATCATATCTCTTGGTCCTGGGAGAGAGCAGCATCATATCTCTTGGTCCTGGAAAGAGCAGCATCACATCTCTTGGTCCGGGAGACAACAGCATCACATCTCTTGGTCCTGGAGACAACAACAGCATCACATCTCTTGGTCCAGGAGAGAACAGCATCACATCTCTTGGTCCTGGAGAGAACAGCATCACATCTCTTGGTCCTGGAGAGATCAGCATCACATCTCTTGGTCCTGGGAGAGAGCAGCATCATATCTCTTGGTCCTGGGAGAGAACAGCATCACATCTCTTGGTCCAGGAGAGGAAACAGCATCACATCTCTTGGTCCTGGAGAGAGCAGCATCACATCTCTTGGTCCTGGAGTGAGCAGCATCATATCTCATAGTCCTGGAGAGAGCAGCATCATATCTCATAGTCCTGGAGAGAGCAGCATCATATCTCATAGTCCTGGAGAGAGCAGCATCACATCTCTTGGTCCTGGAGAGAGCAGCATCATATCTCTTGGTCCTGGAGAGAGCAGCATCATATCTCTTGGTCCTGGAGAGAACAGCATCACATCTCTTGGTCCTGGAGAGAGCAGCATCATATCTCTAGTCCTGGAGAGAGCAGCATCACATCTCTTAGTCCAGGAGAGAGCAGCATCACATCTCTTGGTCCTGGAGAGAGCAGCATCATATCTCTTGGTCCTGGAGAGAGCAGCATCACATCTCTTGGTCCAGGAGAGAGCAGCATCACATCTCTTGGTCCTGGAGAGAGCAGCATCATATCTCTTGGTCCTGGAGAGAACAGCATCACATCTCTTGGTCCTGGAGAGAGCAGCATCACATCTCTTGGTCCTGGAGAGAGCAGCATCACATCTCTTGGTCCTGGAGAGAGCAGCATCATATCTCTTGGTCCTGGAGAGAGCAGCATCATATCTCTTGGTCCTGGAGAGAACAGCATCACATCTCTTGGTCCTGGTGAGAACAGCATCCCATCTCTTGGTCCGGGAGAGAGCAGCATCCCATCTCTTGGTCCTGGGAGAGATCAGCATCATCTCATCTCCGGGAGAGAACACCTTAGTCAACTCCTAAGCTTCGTGGTTCCCATCGAGGCTGCTCGAAATTGTGGCCCCTCAGGTAAATTCAGGTAAATATCGAGTCATGTGGAAATAATGTAGCTTTTATGTGACATCAGTTGCCTGAGGTGTATCACACATTGACGGTTGAGAGGCGGGACCAAAGAGCCAAAGCTCAACCCCCGCAAGCACAACTAGGTGAGTACAACTAGGTGAGTACACATGCTCCTCACTGCCTGGGCCAACGAGTTTGTTCATAATGAATAATAGACTAATTCCCATTAATTTTGTTATAATAAAATGCACCATTATTCACTGATCTCGAGAAAATTAATGTAAATTTACTGCTGTCCATAATTTGTCCGTACTGGCATAAAACAAACGATTCTCCCGCAAGAAAAGGTTTTTCAAGCCACTGGAGCCTCTACGGGATATTCATGCCCGTGCCGCCTGTTGATCTTCATCACTAGATGGAGGGGCCTTTGTCAGAGTAAGAGGGGGGGGGGGGAGTAGATGTACCTTTGTTTTAATTCAACACGACTGAGCTCCTCTCTCTAGCACCCAACCACCCAGACATAGACAATTAGACAATGAGAGAGAGAGAGACAAGAGAGAGAGAGAGAGAGAGAGAGAGAGAGAGAGAGAGAGAGGAGAGAGAGATATAGCTAGAGAGAGAGAGAGAGAGAGAGAGAGAGAGAGAGAGAGAGAGAGAGAGAGAGAGAGAGAGAGATTGAATCAGCAGTTGAAGATTCATAAGTCAGGCTGATTGATGGCTGAGCATCAATCAGCAGCACAGTATGAGTGTGTTAGTATTGCTCAGGAGATGGCACCACCTCCCCTCCTTAGCGTTGTCTAACATCTAACATCTTTAACATGTCTTAACATCTAAGCCACTATATCATCCAGCGTTGACTCCTTCCCTCAATAACAGCAGCTCGTTATCTGTACTCACCTAATTGTGTCTGCAGGATCGAGCATTGACTCTTGGATCCCGCCTTTCGAGCATCGGTTGTTTACAGCAATGACTATGGTCCTATTTCCCTATCATACCTAGTTTTAAAATTATGAATAGTATTTGCTTCCACAACCTGTTCCTTAAGTGCATTCCATTTTCCCACTACTCTCACGCTAAAAGAAAACTTCCTAACATCTCTGTGACTCATCTGAGTTTCCAGCTTCCACCCATGTCCCCTCGTTCTGTTACTATTCCGTGTGAACATTTCGTCTATGTCCACTCTGTCAATCCCCCCCCTGAGTATTTTATACGTTCCTATCATGTCCCACCCTCTCCCTTCTTCTTTCTAGTGTCGTAAGGCACAGTTCCCTCAGGCGATCCTCATATCTCCAAGTATATTTTTACTCTCTATGCCATATATGACAGGCTGGAGAGAGAGAGAGAGAGACCTTTTTCCGCGTTGATCCAGCAACCCGTCCTCGACTCAAGTCCATTACATCCAGCGGTCAACCCCACAGACGCATTCATAAATTTTAACATGCTGTTCATTCAAAATGGGAATTTTCTCAAGTATAAATTAATATTATAATATATTAACATATTGTGTATATATAGGCATAGGCATAGGTTAGGTTAGGTGTTTAGGTTCTGTTGGCGATTATTTGTATTTGTAGTACGTGTGTGAAGCATTTATAGCGTTGTGATTCGAACAAAATTCGTCAGTGAAGCACTTGTTCCGGATATGTTCGAACGTCAGCAGTTGTGAGTCGTGTGTAAACGGCTTTTCATTCATAAACAGGGGGTTTGGCGGGTGCATGGAATCACTTTTGGATCTTTGTTTGGAGGACGGGCTGGGTGTCGAGCTGGGGGTTCGTTAGCTTTGAGTATTGGGTTGGGGGGTTCATTAGCGTGGGGTGTTGAGCTGGGGGTTCGTTAGCTTCGAGTATTGGGTTGGGGGGTTCATTAGCGTGGGGTGTCGAGCTGGGGGTTCGTTAGCTTCGAGTATTGGGTTGGGGGGTTCATTAGCGTGGGGTGTTGAGCTGGGGGTTCGTTAGCTTCGGGTGTTGGGTTGGGAGCTTCGAGGGCCGCAGCTTCTCCGGAATCATATATTTTTAGCGATTCAGCGCCCCCTGCCGCCATGCCCCGCGGCTGGTCGACCTATCACTACGGTGATTCATACCTACCGGTGCCTGGTAAACACAGTACTCAATTACTGAGAGTGATAAATTGCCGGGTGAGGCCAAACCAACCTGCCTGACGTGATTATAAATTAGAGCTAAACGGAGAAGTCTCGTCTGCTACAATGAACATTGAAGACGAAATAATTCCGTCCGGTGGTCCGGCTCGTCAGTCAAAGGAAAGAAATGCTTGCTTGTCCTCTCCCAGATTTCAGCCCCGAATCGGGTCATTCTGAGGTGAAAGAGCTAAGCCGTCTACGTGGTCGACTACGTGGCTGCCCGTCATCCTAATAGCACGTTGTATCTTGACGTATAAACTACCTATAAGGCTAAAAAATTGACGCACTAGAAAATGGTAGCGGCTCGCGAAATTGATATACTGTTCCGTTTTCTGTTTTGGGTCCTCTGAGAGGTTAGGATAAGAGGTACTTTAGTACGTCAGTTTCTTGACGTTGGGGAAGCTTAGGAGGACGGGCTTGGGGTAGGACGGAGGGCAGGAAAGCCTCAGGTGGCCGTCATTATTTTATTGTTTATTTTTTTTTTTAAGGAGATACGTCAGGCTGCGAGCAGCCGCGTCTAACAGCCTGGTTGATCAGTCCAGCAACCAGGAGGCCTGGTCGACGACCGGGCCGCGGGGACACTAAGCCCCGGAAGCACCTGAAGGTAACCTCAAGGCAAGGTAGATCACCTGCGTCGAACTATTGCCCAATTAGCTTAACGTCTATCGTGGGAAAATTGCTTGAATCGATAAGTCCAAAAGCCATTCAACTTCATCTTGAAACACAGATTAATAAATGAATCACAGCGTCTGGGATCCTCTCGGACGTAGGTTAGAACCCTCGTTACGGCTCTTATGGATTTGCTCACTCACAACTTGGTTTCACTAAGGCTCGCTTATCTGTGACAAAGTAGGTTTACGGGCTATTCATGCCCGTGCCACCTTTTGGGTGGCTTAATCTTCATCAATCTTTGACAAAGTTGCTGTCATTCTATTCCACGTAACGATATGATTCCTGTGTGTAATAAATGTTTGGAATGTGTTTTGAGAGTGTATAATTCTTTGTAATATTATAGTTTGAGTTCACTCCTTGTGCCTTATTCATTTCATACTTTTCATTTGATTCATTTGATACTTGATGTGTATGCCTTTCCATTGGAGACTTTCAGCGCCGTGGAGAGGGGGGACCTGCTGCCTGGGTAACAGCTTCTTCCTCCCGTATCAACCTACCCTGGTTTTGCGCCCTGGTGAGGCCACTCCAGACCGACAACCAGAGCGCAACTCCATAGTCTCCTGAGACTGATGGATGCCTACTACTATTACTATTTTGGGAATGATTGTGTTTAGGACACGTGGTAATCCGGCCTCTGCCGGATTACGGCCAGCCGGTAATCCCCAAACGAGCAGCATTCGTTTAGGACCAGTTTGTAAGGTAATTTTGTACGAACTGTGTGAGGTGATTTGAGTTGTTTCGTGTGGAGTGGGAGTGTTTGCAGTGTTTGGTTCCCGTGAACGTTCTTCATTGTAAATTAAGTGTAGACTGTTGTGAATGGCCTTAATTGTCTGATATATTTCAGTATTTAATTGCTGTTTGTTGGATAATTTGTTGATTTATCTTTTAACTTTATATATATATCAGTTCTCTTATTAAAACAAATTGTTGATTATTCTGATTCTTCATGGCTAGGACGCTACAGTTTTGGCGAGAGAGAGAGAGAGAGAGAGAGAGAGAGAGAGAGAGAGAGAGAGAGAGAGAGAGAGAGAGAAGAGAGAGAGAGACAGAGAGAGAGAGAGAGAGAGACGAGAGAGAGAGAGAGAGAGAGAGAGAGAGAGAGAGAGGAGAGAGAGGAGAGAGAGAGA